TCTTTTTAAAAACATCTTATTTTTAAAAAAATTTATGTGTATGAGTGTATTGCCTACATGTATGTAAGTGCATCCATGTCGTGCAGTGCCTGTGGAGGTCAGAAGAAGACATCAGATCCCCAGGAACTGGAGTTACAGATTGTTATGTGGGTGCTGGGACTCGAACTCAGGTCCTCTGCAAGAACAGTCAGTGCTCTTAACTGCTGACCCATCTCTCCAGCCCCTTTCTTCAGTATCTTAATTTTTTATTATATAAGCCTTTCACTTCCTCCATTAGATTTATTGAAAGATTTTTTGTTTTTGTTTTTGAGACTATTAATGAATGGGATTGTGTTCCTAAATTCTTTGTATGTATGCCATTGGTGTGTAAGGCTATTGATTTCTGTGTGCTAGTTTTGTATGCTGCTATTTGCGCAACATTTTTATCAACTGTAGGGGTTTTCTGGTGGCGTCCTTAGGGTCTTTAATATGTATAAAATCATACCACGTGAAGTAAGGACATCATGACTTCTTTTCTTGTTTGTATCCCCTCTGCCTCCTTCTCTTGTCTTATTACTGTGGCTAAGACTTCATGCATTATATTGAGCAGGAGTGGACATCTTGTCTTGTTACTGATTTTAGTAGCAATGCTTCCAGTTTGTCTCCACTTATCGTAGTGCTGGCTGTGGGCTTGTTATGCATTGATTGCCTTTATCATGCTGGGATGTGTCCCTGCATCTCTAGCTTCTTTAGGATTTTTATCATGAAAGAAGGTTGGATTTTTGTCAAAGGCCTTTTCTGCATCTGATTAGATGATCATGTGGTTTCTGCCCTTGGGTTCATTTATGTGATGGATTACATTTTTGATTACAATAAATTTTCCTTTAAGATGGTGCCAGGCCATTCCTCTTTAAGACATATAGCATAATAAAGTACAATTAGTTTCAATCCCTGACCTGTCTGCCCAGGGAATCAGTGTTTCATGAAAACCCACCCGTTACTTTCTTGTTGCTGTGACAAATACCCAGCAAAGACAGCTCAAGGAAGGAAGGGTTTACTCGGGCTCAGTTTGAAGGTGTGATGCATGTGGCAGCCAGGGCATCAGACAGCTGCTCACATAATGTTCCCAGTCAGGAAGCAGACAGGGGCTAAGGGGGCAGCTCAGCTCACTGGCTCCTTCTTAACCAGTCCAGGACCCCAGCCAGTAATGGTACTGCCCACATTCAGGATGGGTTTTCTCTCTTGACTTAACCTTTCTGGAAACATCCTCATAAACACAGCATGAGGTATATTTCTGTGATGATTCTGAATCCAGTCAAGTTGGCAATTAAGATCAACCATCACAACCAGCAACTAAAGTTGAGGCCTGTGGAGGCTGTGGTTTGTCCTGGGGGTAGGAATGCTTGGCTTGCAACTGGCGTTCCTGTTACTGGTCTTCTCAGAAGCAGCTTGAGCCCCCTCCCTCCACCTGGGGACAGCTGGACCCAGGCTGTGTCTGCCTTGCTTTCTGTCATTGTTCCTGCCCTTTCCAGTATACTTTTTCTCCCTTCATGAATTTCCAAAGCTTTTTTTCTGTTTCCCTCTTTGGGATAAAGTGTTTTTTCTTATTCTGGCTGCATCCATCAACTTTCCCAGAAGCAGCTGCCATTTCTCTATCTTATGTAGAAGTCCTCAGTGGTCCTCCTTCAGTAGTAAAAGACAAAATACAATAGTATGAAACTTACAAGATATCTAAGGAAGATATATCAAAAGGAAAGGCATATATCTTTTGATTATTATATATTAATAAATGAATGTACATAAAGTCAGTTAACCTAGTATACATGAAGATAACTGTAATATGGCTACCCAGGTAGTTCTTATTAGTGAACAGGTCTAAGAATACCAGCACTGGAGCCAGACCACAGGAGTCCAAACCAGACTCTACTTTCTGAGTGATCTCAAGCAAGTGACTTTACCTTTCTGGAATTTAAATTCCGTACTTATCAAATAAAGAGGATAATAATAATACCTACCTCCTAAGTTTGTGGTGGACAGTGTGTTCAGACATGAGACTAGTCCTTGGTGAAGAATATGTGTGATGGCTGTTTTACTGATATTAAAGTGGTTATTAACTACTTAAGGCATTCTCCTTTAATGTATTCCAATTTTAGAAGACTGCTGTAGATGAAAGACAGAATCTGGGCACCACAAACACCCAGAGGCTGATTGCAGATGCTAAGGATGATGAGGGAAGTGAGCAGCAGAAGATATCTTCTTTAATACAGGAGAGAAATGAACTGCAGCAGATGCTGGAGAGTGTTAGGGCAGAAAAGGAGCAACTGAAGAGGGATCTAAAGGAAAATATCGAGATGGTAGGTTTAGAGCTGTGTACGTGGACATACATTTTCATCATCTGTTTATTTAGATTTTATTAATTTATTCAAGTATAATCTACATGCAATATGTTATGGAAGTGTAGAGCTTGATGACTTTTGACAAATGTCTCTGCCTAAGCAGAGCTACTGGCTCATAGGGAGTTATGTTAACTTGGTGAGGATCTGCCAGACTGTGACTAGAGAGATGGCTCAAAGGTTAAGAGCACTGGCTGCTCTTGCAGAGGACCCAGATTCAATTCTCAGCACCCACATGGCGGCTAACAGCCATCTGTAACTCCTCTTCCAAGTGAGCCACTGCTCCCTTCTGGCCTCCATAGACATTGCACAGCACAGATGCACCTACATACATGTATGTAAAATGCTCATACACATATTTTTTTTTTTAATTTGCCAGGTTGGTTTCCAAATGAGTTTTACCACTGTACAGCCCCACCAACAAATAAATAGGATTCTGGTGACTTCATACCCCCTTGCTAGCCCTCCATAATTAGTGATGCTTACAGTTTCAGCCATTCTTTTGAGAATGTGCCTTGTTTTACTTTCCCTTTCCCTAACAGTGAAAGATGTTAAACATGCTTTCATATGCTGATTAGCCATTATATGTCTTCTAATAATTTATTCTTGTAGTGATGTGTTACAGGTTTTCAGTGTTCAGGTGTTACACATACTTTGTTAAATTGGTTCCTAAATGTTTCTCTTTTACTGTTGTTTTTGAATTTGTTTTTAATCATTGGTGTTTATCAGTATTCCCATAACTGGTTCAGTTTATCAATATTCCTGTAGCTGGCTGAATAATCTTAAAGGTTTAAATTAGTAATTTTAGAAATTCACTGTGGAGCCAGTAGAACTTGATGCTTTGTGCTAGTTTAATTTTTTGTTTTAATTTTTTTTTAGAATTGTCTGCTTTATCAAAATTCTGAATGAAAATTAGCATGAAACACAAAGTATATTCTATTCGTGGCTTCTTATATTTTTGTGACTATTCTAGTTTGTCTCTCAATTACAGTGACAAAACACTCTGACCAATACCAGCTTGGAGAGGAAAGGGTTTATTTAGTTTACATCTCCAGGGTCACAGTTCATTACTGAGGGAGCCCAAGGTAGGAACTCAGGGCAGAAACCTGGAGGCAGGAGCTGGAGCACAGGCCATAGAGGAACACTTTTTACTGGCTTGCTCATCTGGCCTGTACTCAACCTGCTTTCTTATATGACACAGGTCCAACCTGCCCTGGGGTAGCACCATCTACAGTGGGCTGGGCTGCCCCACATCACTCAGTAATTAAGAAGGTGCCCCACAGAGGTGGCCACAGGCCAGTCCAATAGAGGCAATTCACCAACTGAGGCTCCCTCTACCCAGGTGTGTCAAGTTGACAACTAAAGCTGTCCAGCAACCTACATATGTGAGTGTCACTGTGCACCATTTTTAGCTGATGAGTAAATGATCAAAGCTCATATCCAAAGCCAAGAATTAGCATCAGCATATATGGAAACAGAAAGACTTGAGCATAAGAAAAAAAAACTAATTTTACTCTCCTCCTAACCATTGAAAGCATTCTCACATCTTTTTACATTGTCCTTCACTAATTTCTGGGTTTTTTTCTTGATTTCCTAAAAATATAAGTTAATATTATTTCTTTTAATCTGTAACCTTTTTAAACTCTAGACTGTTGAAAACCAGGAAGAATTAAGAATTCTTAGAGTGGAACTCAGAAGGCAGCAGGAGATAGTTGCTCAGGAAAGGAGCCAAGCCGTGAAGAAAGGTGATGAGCTGTCAAGGGCCTGTGAGAGGCTGGCAGAAGCTGAGGAGGAGCTCAGGGAAAAGGTGAATTTTCCTAGTTACCTTTCTGCCTATTTGTCCTGCCTAAACCTTTTTGGTAACAAATTTTTATTCCTCTAGTCCCAAATCCAGGAATCATAGTATCTCCAGATGAAGAAGTATCAATGCTCTTCTTTTTTTTCCCTTCAAGATGGGGTCTCCCTGTAGCCCCAGCGGGCCTAGAACTCAATATGTAGGCCAGGCTGGCCTCCATCTCATATCAATCTGCCTGCCTCTGCCTCTGCCTCTGCCTCTTGCCTCTGCCTGAGTGCTGGGATTAAAGGCATGAGCCCCCACACCTGGCCCCCCTCAGTGTTCATATTTTGAAATTTCAGTTGTACTGAATTTTTCACATTCCTATCAGGATTATATAATTCTAAAAACATTTGGTGAGATGCAGCCTTATAGCTTCTAAGTTAACCATAAAATATAGTATTTGTTGAGCACTACCATGGGCTAGACACTCTCCTGAGTACTTAACAATATTAGTCAACAAAGCAAAGGTCCTCTCCTCATGGAGCTGTGTTAGTGTTAACGTGTAAGGCTGCTTGCTCTCAGCATCTCCTGACTCATTTTGTGAAAGTAGAGTTGGGCTGTGAGACACAAAGAAGACCTAAGGCTGACAAGCTTCTGCCCCAGTGATCTGAGCCGCACTCAGAGTTCTGGCTGCAGAGTGAGACCTTGTCTCAAAATATGCTTATTGATTGGTTTATATGATAGGGAATTGCAGCTACTTGGTATCTATATTTGTGTATTTAACTAGTCTCTTGACTCTTCAGTTCTACGCTTTCATTGTCACCTTGCTCCCTTGATCAGCCTAATGATACCAGAATTACCATAAACTTGGTGGTTTACAAGAACAGAAATGTTTTATATCTCTGTTCTTGGTCTTTGGGGCTCAAAATTCAAGAGTCAGCAAAACCATGCTTCTTCTAAAAGCTTAGAGAAGAGCGCTTGCTGGCTTCTTACCAGAGTCTGGGATCTCCAACTGCGCTGGGCATTCTTGACTTAAAACTGCATCACTCCAGCCTCTGCTGCCATCTTCCCAAGACCTGCTTGTCCAGGTGTCTCTGTGTTCTCTTCTGTCATTGGTTTGAGGCCCACTATAATCCAGTAGGCTCTGTTCGTATGCCTTAGCTCATTATGTTTGCAAAGGCCCCATTTCCAAGCAAGGTCACATTCCGAGGTTCTGGGTAGTTTAACCCAGAACTGTTTAACACATGGCAGACATTGTGTCTAGAGGGCCAGTTTGCTTTAATACTGCTTGTCTGTTTTCATTGAGGTAGACAGTGCTCTGTTAATGATTCTAAATTTGGTAAAATAGTCTTAACATGATAATTATAAAAATTGTACCTCCTAAGAACCAGAAACTCCAGGAAAAGCAGCAACAGCTTCGTAGTGCACAGGAGGAGCTGACTAAGATGCAAGAAAAGATCAATGAAATGGAGAATCTGAAGAACGAATTAAAGAACCAAAAATTAGCATTAGAACATGTGGAAATGGAAAGACTTGAGTTGACCCAAAAACTCCAGGAAAATGACAAGAAAATGAAATCTATAACCAAGGAAAGAAATGATCTAAAAGAATTGCAGGAGTCATTTGAAGTCGAAAGAAATCAACTTAAAGAGTACGTGAGAGAAACCGAAGCTATGGTGAGTTGCCATCGCCTTTTCTTTACCTTTCAAATGGTTCTTCAGACACTTAGCCAATTAGGAAGCGGGAGGCGGTGTTGGGGATAGTGTTGGAAAATTCTTTAAATGTCACTTGTTGATTAAGGACCTGCGAACAAAAGAAGAACTCATCATTGCACCCGTGCATCTAAAAAAACACCAAGAAATTATTGATGAGCTGCAAAGAAGCATTTGTGAGAGAGACGCTGAAGCAGCCAGCCCCCGGAAGGACACAGAGAAGCCCGGCACTGAACTGCACGCAAAGGTAAGCAAGTGAGCAGCAAGTGCTGACCGAGTTCCTTTCCCTCATTTGTGGGTAAGAATGTGTTGCCTGGCTGCTGTGGCAGATACAGTCTACTTACAGAAATACAGTGAGGAAGGTCAGTGTGGTGGTGGTGCCTCATAGTCCTAGCACTTGGAGAATGGAAGCAGGAGGATCAGGAGTTCAAGAAGGGCCTGGGCTCTATAGAGAGTTTGAGGTCAGCCTGGGCATACCTCAAGAAAACAAGAAAAAAATGGTACAACAGTGGGAACAAAGGGACAAAATCCTTATTCAGTTGCTGTGGAGGGAGACCACTAAAGCAATCAAATACAGCAATGTCAGATAATTGTTAAGTGCTATGGAAGAAATGATGGATTGGGATAAGTGGGCCAATCCGTGTTAAACACTTACACTGCAGAGGCTGGAGAGATAGCTCAGTGGTTAAGAGCACTGGCCATTCTTTCATAGGACCTGGGTTCAGTTCCCAGTACCCACATGGCAGTTAACAATCATCCATAACTCCAGTTCCAGGGGACCCTACCTCTTCTGACCTCTGTGGGCATTGCACAATACAGATGCACTTACAAGCAGGCAATACGCTCATACACATAAAAATAATAAATAAAATAAATACACTCTGCCAAACATTGAAACCATGCTATAAATAAAACAGTTCTTTTTCCCAATATATATGCATGTAAACAAAATTCCTCAATTCTAATGTAGCACATGCAGAAATATGATAGTCAAAATTACATGGTTCCACTAACACCAAGGTGGACAGGGATTGGTGTGCACCCAGAGAAAAATTGGGAAGTAGCGTTGGGAGCCATCTGAAAGTGAACATACCTAAACTTTGTTTTATATTTACTTATAATTTGGGAACCAGTCTTAAAAAGTAAGCCTGTAACTGACTGAATTAACCATTGGAAATAATGTCTAAAGACTGGTACACTTTGGAGCTAAACTGAAAAGAGAGTAAGTTGTGGCAGAAGGGAAGTAGAAGGAAAGTCCTGAGTAGCATCAATGGGAGTTGAGGCCCATGAGTAAATAGATTTCTTGATCCAAGGAGGCCCTGAAGGGTCAAGGTCACTTTCATTGCTAGGAGAAAATGTCCTGACCTTTCACTTTAAAAATATGCTGATCTCAGATGATAAAAGAAACACTTCAAGTTGAATGTGAACCACTGGGAGAAGACATTAGCGAACTTGGGCTAGAGTGAGCTTTTCGTTTTTTCAAACAGGGTCTCATGTAGCCAAGGTTGGCCTTGAACTCCTGATCCTTCTTCCCCCACCTCCCAGTTCTAGGATTACAGGCATGTGGATCACTATGCTCTGGTGAAGTAAGTTTCTATTCCTCCCACATTAGTAATATTTTATCAGAATTAAATCTTTAGAGAAGGGTTGTTTGTCTTTTAGTTTAAATCTAACTGCCAGTTTTCTTCAAATGTATGACTGAAAATGATTAAAGTTGCCCCTGAATGCTAAGAAACCATCAAAACTGGACAGAAATGTTCCAGGGAAACAACTGTTTTGTTTTTTTTTGTTTCTATTTTTAGTTTCTGTGTATGTGTGTTTTGCCAACATGGTAAGTGGGCCTGTGCATGCAATGACCACAGAGGCCAGAAGAGGGCATCATATCCCCCGAGATCTGGAATATATGGATGGTTGTTAGCTGCCCTGTGTGCGAGAGCAGCCAGTGCTCTTAACAGCTGCCATCTCTCCAGGCCTAGAAACAGCTGTTTTTAAAAATTGATTTAGAAAAAGCAGTGCTGAATTACAGAAAGGGGTCAAACTGAAAATAGATTATTTTCTTTCTTTAAATCTGTCCCTCCATGCTAGGCATGGTGGTGCAGGATTATATTATTGGCTCTTGGGAGGCTAAGACAGGAAGATTGCAAGTTTGAGCCCAGTCTTAGACAAATGAGACCCTGCATTAAATTTTAAAAAAGAATCATCTGTTCCTTACATAAGGTACCAATGGTATGCCTCATTGCTTCTGTTAGAAACCTGGAAAACATCCCTGCTTTTATTTTGTCTTCCCCCTCTCTACAATCCAGTCTCCAAACCTTCTTTATTTTCACGTGTGTGTGCTTGTGTTTGTGCCTGCATTCAAACCCTCCCATATTTCCCCTCCATATTACCAACACCTTAGTACAAGTTCACCATTGTGTCTTTGAAGCTCTCCACATTCACTCGTGTCTCTGCTCCATTTTCCATTCTGAGACCAAGTGATCTTTCCTTCTTAAAAGAGGCCTGACCCACAGGCCCCGCTGCTCCCTCCTGTCCTTCAGTGCTCTTCTGCACTTCCCTTAGGAATTTGAAGCGTTCTCATCCTGTCTCCCTGGTACTTACACACCCTCCTTTGCGTAGCTAGTGCTTTCATCCCTCAGCTCTGTTTTCTATCCCCTAGGAAACTCATCCTAATCATTCCTAATAATAAGCTTGACATGAGCCTTAGGGGAGCCCAGCTCCTCTGTTTGATGAGATTTCACGTAATATCTGTCTTCCCCCTATGATTCTGAGAGAGATCATATTTCTCTGCAGTCTTTATCTAACAGGATACTTAGAAGCACAGTGAGCCCTTACTTAAAATATTAACTGCCTGAATAATGGAAGAGTAGGAGAGTGAAAAGATTGCTGTGTAAGCTGGGCATGGTGGTGCACACCTTTAATCTCAGCACTCAGAAGGCAGAGGCAAGTGGATCTCTGTGAGATTGAGGCCAGCTCAGTCTACTTAGTGAGTTCCAGGTCAGCTACAGCTACACGGAGACCTTGTCTCAAAAACCGAACCAACAAACAAAAGATTATAAATGAGCCATTGTTTTCAACCTCAGTTGTCTGAAAAAAAAATCCTGATTCTTTTCCATAATAATTAAATACCTTCTGTTATAACTGTTGTTGTCTTAGGAATCCCTTAAGATCCCAGAGGCTGGATATAAACAGGAACAGTCTTTCAATGTAGAGGAAAAGGACAGTGCGACTGCTGAAATGAGTGAGCTGGGGCAGCTGAAGGAGATGTTCAAAGCCAGAGATTCAGCAGTACCAAGAGAAGAACAGGAAGAGATCAGGTTGTCCACAAGTCCTGACGAAAGTGGCAAAGTGGTGCTGTTAGCTAAGGAGAGGGATGGCCTCCAGCGCCTGCAGCAGGCTCTCCAGTCAGAGCGTGACCAACTCACAGAGCACGTCAGAGAAATCACAGCCAAAGTAAGTTTCATCTTTCGCTGTATTTCTTAAGATATTTTGTAAGGGCCAGCCATTAATCCCAGCACTCGGGAGACAGAGGCAGGAGATCTCTGAGAGTTCTAGGCCAGCCTGGTTTATATAGTGAGTTCTAGGCCAGCTGGGACTACAGGGAGGCCGTCTCAAAAACCAAAAAAATAAGTAAACTATATTTTGTAAGCAAATATATTCCTAATAACTAAACCTTTGCATAAAGCACTTAGTTATATTGTAATGGTTATAATATTTCTGTAAATGTCTTGGGGTTTTTCTCTAATAATCAAGCACCTAGAAACTGAGGAAGAACTTAAAGCTGCTCATTGCTGCCTGAAAGAGCAAGAGAAAACGATTGACGCACTGAGAATGAACCTCTCCCAGAAGGAAGCTGAATTATCAAGCATTCGGATAGAGCTAGAATCAGCCACTGATGAGCTGCAGAAAAAGGTAAATTGGGGGTAAAGAATGAGGTAGAAATTAGGAGATAGCTAACTGGAAGGCCACTGTTTACACTAAATTATTTTGGAGCTTATATTTTGTATTCTTCCTTAAAATAATAGAGAGGCCAGGTGTGGTGGCCATGTCTTTAGTCCCAGCACTCTGGAGGCAGGTGAAGCTCTGTGAGGTCAAGGCCAACCTGGTTAACATAGTGAATTCCAAGCCAGCTGGGTCTACAGGGAGGTCCTGTCTCAAAAAGAAAGTAATAATAAAACTAATAATAATAATAGGAGAGAGCATTCTTTCTTGCTGCTATTAACTTATTATTATTGATTCAAGTATTTTGTGAGAAACAGGAACAACTTAACGTAAAAGAAACTAGTGAGGCTCAAAAAAACAAACTAGAACAAGCCGTGGACCGTATCCTCCCCAAAGATTCAGCCCTGTGAAATGTACAAATGGCAGGCTCCAGCCTAATGAAAGAACTGAAGACAGTCAAGAAGTAGATATATAATTAAGGAAAGCGCCAAACCGAAAGTATGTCGGAGGCCCTCAGAGGGAGAGACCGACAGAAGAAAACATTAAAGAAATTACAGCTAAATAGACTGATTTGGGGCAAAAAATAGGGTTAAGATGATTGTGATGGTGTTTGCTAGTAAGTTTTGTTAATTTTTCTCTAATTATAAAGGAAATGAAAAAGAACTAAAATTTGTTTGCATTCATCGTAATGATTACCTAGTCATTATTAATACAAGGAGTATTTCAGGAAATATAGATCAAGAAGCAACTATTCAGAGGGATTTAGGAGGTTTAGATGAAGGGAAAGTAGTTATTGTTTTGTTATGCTGGAAAATGGCACCTACGTAGCTTTTGTTTCCTCATAGCCCTTAACAAAGAAAGCGCTGCATACATTAGACTAAAATGTAGATGTTTTTGCCTTGACTTAGGAATGCATCTTCCTCTCTCTTTAAAAGAAAAGAAAAAAACCTGTCTACCTGTGTCCTAATTTATTTTATTTTCTTAGCTCCAAGAACTTCAGGAAAAAGAGCATAAGTATCTTGAGATGAAGACAAGTAATGAGACTGAAGAGAATATGTGTGAGATGGAACACTTGAAAGAGCAGTTTGAGGCCCAGAAGTCAACTCTGGAAAAGATGGAAATGCAGAATGTAACCCTGACTCAAAGACTCCACGAAAACACTGAAGAAATGAGATCTGTAACAAGAGAAAGGGATGACCTTAGGAGTACAGGGGAGAGCCTCAAAGTAGAGAGAGACCAGCTCAAGGAAAACCTTAAAGCAACCATGACTAGAGTGAGTTACCATCCTTCCCCATCATGCAGCCTTCATGTCCTAAAAGACAGCAGGCCACAGATTAGGTAGAAGTATAAAACTGCTCCCAGAGTCTAACTGCAGCTGCTTACACTGTGCACATTGGCACAAAGAGATCTGATAGTCACTCTGTCCATTAGTAGGAGACTGGTTAAGTAAGTGCAGCATGTTTGGATCATGGAATAGTGCATTTGAATAACAAAGTGCTGCATTGGTAAGTGTCCCACTCTGGAAAAGGGTCACTTGACAGTGGTATATCTAGACTGTTCACATCTGAATGTAACTAGAGTGGAGACTAGGAGGCTTCGGAGAGGGTGAGGGTGCTTTACTTCCTGTCATAGGCCTTCTGTTTGAATTGTATTTCTCTCAATGCATTTTTTTTTTCTTTCTTAAATAATTAAGGGTCTAGAAAAAGAAGAAGAACTAAGAATTTCTCATCTGCATCTGAAAGAACACCAAGAAACTATCGACAAACTCAAAGAGATTGTTTCTGAGAAGACGGATGAAATATCCAATATTCAAGGGGACTTGGAACGTACAAATGCTACCTTAGAAGCACAGGTAATTTTTAATCTGAATAACTGGGACATTGAATAAAATCTTCTGTATAATGAAACAGGATGTGAATGTGTGTTTAAATTAAAGTGAAGATTTGCCTGTTCAATTTTAAGACATTATGTGGTGCGTGCGTGTGTGTGTGTGTGTGTATGCATATTTTCTATATCCTAACTTATTGTATGATTATCTTAAGATCCAAGAACTCCAGGAAAAAGAACATCAGTTTTCTAAAGTAAAAGGTGACCTCAGAGAAGCTGTGTATCAAATGGAACAACTAAAGGAGCAGATGGAAGCCCAGAATTCAACTCTAGAGAGCATAAAAATAGAGAAGCTAAGATTGACTCAAAAGCTTCATGAAAATCTTGAAGAAGTAAGATTAGTTACTAAAGAAAATGATGGCCTGAGACTTGTGGAGGAAACCCTCAGAACAGAGAGAGACCAACTGAGGGAAAGCCTTAGAAAAGTAGAAGCAGATGTAAGTTACGTGTGTTCCTGTTACTAGCAGGTAGACGTGTTATCTGCTTGCAGTGATGAACCCTTCTTTGCAACACGTGATAGTGCTGTGTTTGCTTCTTGAAGTAGGAGATGGGGGGGCGTGATGAGACAAGAAGAAAAGTTCTATAACTTTCAAAAAGCAAAGAAGATTAAGAAGGAAAAGTCGGGGTGGGGGTGGTACTCAGCAGATAAAGTACTTGCTGCTCAAGCCTGGTGACCTGAGTTCAAGTCTTAGAACACAGATAAAAGTGGAAGGAGAGACCCAACTCCATGAAATTATCCTCTGACCTCCACACAGTAAGACACCCCACCCCCAACACACACACACACACATATAATAAATTAATTAAAAAAAAATAAGTAGCTGGGCATGGTGGCACATGCCTGTAATCCCAGCACTCAGGACATAAAGGCAGACGGGTCTCTGTGAGTTCAAGGCCAGCCTGGTCTACATAGTGAGTTCCAGGCCAGCTGAGACCCTGTCTCAAAAAAATAAAATTGCCTGGCATGGAAGTAGATGTACCTGTAATACCAGTACTTGGGAGGCTGAGGCAGGAGAATCAGGAATTCAAGGCTAGCCTTGACTACATAGTTTGAATAAAAATAAAAAAATAAGTAAAAGAAGGCACACATTATTGCTCGGTTGTAGACCTCTTGCCTAGCATACACAAGGTCCTAGGCTCATCCCTAGTTCCACAATAAAGAATAAAAATCAAAACATAATTGTCTTTACTAAGAAAGTATATCACTTAATTTTAAAAATGCTCTTTGATATTTATATGTCACTGTTCTTCAAAGGATCTGAAAAAGGAAGAGAAACTAAGGATTGTGCATGTGGATCTGAAAGAACACCGAGAAACTATTGACAGGCTCAGGGGCATTATTTCTGAGAAGACAGAAGAAGCATCACATATGAAGACGGATTTAGGAAATGCAGATGTTAAATTACAGGCAAAGGTACTGTGGGAAGGGAGGGGACTTGCCTCATTGGACATCTGACCTGTTCATGCTTAAACTTCGGCGGTGTAAATGCTTCAGCCACATTGGGAAGCAGCTTGGATGCTCAGCAAGCTCCTGCCACATGGCCAGGCATTCCCACGCCTTGCTGTGTGCCTAAGAGGACGGGTGTACTTCTGTACAGACCACAAGAACGTTCATAGCAGCTTTCCTCAGAAGAGCGGGAAAGTTAAAACAACCTAATTATTGATCAGTGGGTGAATTAATGACTACATTGTCATCTGCGTGTTCTAAAGGAAGCAAAACTGACCCAGTTTTATGTATATATATTATACCTTAATGGAAACTGCATGTCTTTATGAAAAATATTAATGGGAATACATGAAAGGGCTCTTGTCTTGGTCAATTTAGAAACTGTTCTTTATCCTTCCTTTTAAAAAGTCTGTATCCTGGCATGGAGAGCTGGCTCAGCAGTTATAGTAAGTACTGCTCTTGCAGAGGACCCAAGTTCAGTTTCCAGCATCCACATTGGGTGGTTCACAACCACCTGGAGCTCCAGTTCCAAGGGATCCAACACTTGCTGTCTCTTTGGGCACCCCCCCCCACTCACCTGCACATACCCCCCCCACACACACACACATAATTTAAAATAAAATAAATACATTTTTATAAATCATCCATATCATAACCTGATTTCATGATCTCTTCAGATTCAAGAACTTAAGGCAAATGAACTTCAGCTTCTCAAGTTGAAAGGAGACATGAATGAAATGCAGAGGCAACTCAAGGAACAAGGCTTAACTCTGAATAAAATAGAAATGGAGAATCTAAATCTAGCTCAGAAACTTCACGAAACCCTTCAAGAAATGAAATCTGTAGTAAAGGAAAGAGATAATGTAAGGAGAGCAGAGGAGATGCTCAAGCACGAGAGAGACCGACTCGAGGAACGTCTGCGAGAAGCCGTCGCCAGGGTGAGTTCTGTGCTTTCTTGCTGTCCAATAAGCATGCCGTTTTTGATACTAAACTACCCACCCTTGAAAATGCAAGATACAGGAGAGACAAGAGACATTAGAGATGGAAAGGTAGATGTTTCAACCTTGTAAGAGGCCATTTAACCATGACTTTTTTAAAACGTAGCAGTTCAGACACTATAGGAGTTTATCCTACCAACATTTTCACTCCTTAGGCTAAACTACACCATTCTTCAGGGCAGAGTGATTTCAGCCATTAAAATCTAGAGGTAAACTGAGTGCTACCAAACAAGGCACTAGATAAGTGGAGTTCATCCATCTAATGGAATTCTGAGCCTAGCACTTTTTATGTGACTTAACCAACTTTAAAAGATGGTGGTAGAAAACAGCAAGTGACAGAGTTCAGTAGGTAGCAGGACTAGGGGGAAGGCTAGGGATAGGAACCTGCTCTTTCTGTCCTTCAGACCTGTTCTGATCTAGGCATGGTGTAGTGTTTGTTTCTAACTGAGCGTACATTTTTTTTCTTTGTGTTAAAAGTAATTAGTCAGGCCAGGCATGTTGGTACACACCTTTAATCTCAGCACTCATGAGGTAGGGGAAAGATAGGTCCATGAGTTCGAGGCCAGCCTGGTCTAAATAGACCATATCTCAAAAAAAAAAATCTAAATTCTGAAAGATGTGATTCCAAGCATTCAGGTAAAGGATACTCAATGTATGTATTGTGTACATACGTAACAAATAGACATTATTTTCCTCCCTTGGAGAAATTGTTTGATTCTAATTTATTTTATAATTATCTCAAGATTCAAGAACTTCAGAAAAAAGAACTTCAGCTTCTTACTGAGAAAGAAGATGTCAGTAAACATTGCAAAAAAGTGCAAGAATTGAAGAAGCAGTTTGAGGCCCAAAATTTATCTGTGCAAAGTATGGATATAAATAACTTGCACTTGATTAAGAAAGTTCTTGAAAACCTTGAAGAAATAAGAACTATAGCTAAGGAAAACAATGAGCTAAGGATGATAAAAGAGTCTCTCAAAATGGAAAGAGACCAGTTCAGAGAAACCATAAGAAAAATGATGATTAGAGTGAGTTCAGAATCTTACCTTTTTTAATAGCTATAAGAATCAAGTGTTTTTGAAGTGGGTGCTAATATGAGTTATCTGGTATATTTGGTTTTCTTTGGTTTTTTTTTTTTTTTTCTAGAAATTTATATAAACAGAGTATTTTGGGAAAACACCACAAATGTCATACAAGAAGGAAGCACAAAAACCAAAATGCTTTTCAGAAAATACTATTCTTCATTTTTAAGAAAGATTTGTTAGATGTATTATTTTCCTTCTAAGCTTCTGCTTGGGGAGGGAACTATATTATTTTAAATTGAGAATATTTTCAACTAGATATGCAAGAGAGTAAATGCCTCCATTTCTATACCTCTGTTGGTACACTCATAAATGTGTTTTCATTGCTGAACTTAGAACAGGTAGAGATAAAAAGGTGTTGGGGGGGGAATATTGCCTGTTTATATTTTGAATGATCTTTAAAGGTTTAATTGAGCTTTTAAAAGTATCAGAAAGTTCAGACAAATAAGCCCAAAGTAAATCTATAGGGTTTTTCTTTTTCATATTTGAAGAGTGAAGTAGAAAGCCTCATGTTATGTCAACAGAACTTGGGACCCCTCTATATGCAGGGCCTATCTAAATTTACAAACAGGTTTAAATCATTTGACAAATCTGTACTGAACAGCTATTCCAGGTACTATGGTGAACAAGTTAAACAGATGGGAGAAAGTATGTGTTGGTGGGGGGCGGGGTGATGGCTGTTTTGTGCTTTTTGGTCAAATACAGAGAGAATATAAACAAGACTGGAATTTTCTTTTTTAATTTTTTATTGAATTTTTTATGTGTTTTATACAAAACTTCTTAAGTCATCTTTATACCCTCTTCTCCATTGGCACCCTCCCATACCCTCCCCCACTGGAATTCATACATTCTGTCATTTGTGTTAATGCCTATCGAGTCAACTTAGTGTCCTCAGACATCCCTCAGTCCACTGGGGTCTAGTCAGCCTATCTAGAATCCCTCCCTCTAAGAAAAGCTCTTCCTCACCCAGCAGTAATTAGCTTCCAATAGTCCTTCGACTAAGATTGGGGTCTGCTGCCCATTTCCACAGTTCTATGCTGGGGTTTTGTCTGCTTAAGTTTGCATGGGTCTTGTACATGCTGACACTATCACTGTAGGTTCACTCATATGAGCAATCACCCAGGAGCCTGCAGGGCTCTATTTCCATATGGTCATGCACCTTCTCCTGGCTCTTACAATCTTTCTGCCCCTTCTTCCACAATGGTCCCTGAGCCCTGGGTGGGTAGAGTTTGTAGGAATCTTGTCCAAGCATTCACGTTCTGCAGACTCTTATTCTCTATACTTTGGCCATTTGAGACCTTTTGCATCCCTGGCCCTCTGTTCATGAGGGAGCTTCATTGATGAGAGTTAAGAGACGCATTAGTGTTCACTTTACCCCTTGTTCTATGTTCTATGAGACTTAGGTATAGAGGTTGCATTGTAGATGTACCACTTAGGCTTGGGCAATTCACAGACAATATCTGTATGTGACCAGTTGTGGAACTCTGTAATGGTCTCTGTTATGAAAGAACCCTCTTTGATGAGTGGTGACTGGGATAATTGTCTATAAATATAAGGATCCATATTTTGTATATAGTAAGAAATTACATTTGTCTAGGGATGTGGACAACCTTGTGGTTTTCTGTATGAGCTATGACTGCTCCAACCATGTGCATTTTGCTGTTTACAGTGCCACACATGAGTTTTCTCCCATTGAGTGGGCTTTAAGTCCAATTAGGTAGTTGTTGATTACCCCCAAGATAAATGTGCCACTATTACATCAATGTCATTTGCTGTGCCAGACATAGATGTGGTTATTAGGCCTTAAAACTGGAGTTGGACCATTGATTGATGTTCTCCCTTAGCAGGTTGCCTGAGAGCTAGCCTTCAGGGGAGGTGACTTAAGACTGGAATTTTCTATCCAATGGTCTTGGGAAGAATGTATGAATAGGATTTGGCTTTGCTAGTCTATTTAGTTGGTAACAATAGTTCTAATTTAGAAAATTTGGAAAGTAGGAACCAAAAATCCAAAACCTAATGAAGAATAAATGCCATCCCGAGAAATTGGGTCCTTCTCCCACTGTCCCTCCAGTGAGTTGAGGCCACTCTCTGTGTGACTTGGCAATGCTATTACTCATTTTTTGCCCATTTTAATACTTTGTCATGTGTAATGTTCCATTATTGAAACATGATATTAAATGTAAGCATGTACTTTCATATGTACATGATTAGACATGTAAATGTGGCTATGGCTATTTATTTCTTTGTACCAGGATCATCAGAATCACAAAGAGCTAGTAAAACATGAAAGGAGGTTATCGTGTGATGCAGAGCATCTTACAGAAAGCCTTCGAGAAAAGTGCCTCAGGATAAACGTAAGTGCCCCGATAAAAGCTCCATGCAAATGTTTCTCCTGTTCCAACAGCTTTCTCAAGGCTCAAGTGGAATAAAAGGGACCCATATGTAGTAAATAGATACTACCAAGTGTTTTCTTAACATAACCTAGTACAGCTATGTATGCATGTACATGTGCACATGTATATACACAAAACAGTAGGAGTTTGTTGTTGGTTTGGGGGTTTCTTTTTGTATTTTGGTTTGTTTTTTTTTAAGCCTCTGTGATATTGAGCAAATCTCTGAAAGTAATAAATGGTTCGGTCAATCAAGTGTCTGGGGAGGAATAATGTAAATGGAAGAACCGTGAGTGCAAAACTCCTGAGGCAGGAGCCTGCCCAGTGTCCCGGGAACCTCAAGAAGACAGAAAGCTAGTGACAAGTCGAGTCAGGGGTGTGGGGAGGAGCAGACCACAGGCCGTGAAAGAATGGTTTACTCTGCCTCAGAGGGGGTCTGCTGGAGAGGTTGGACCACATGAGAGACACCGTCTGACTTACTTTTTTAAAGGGAGCATCTGAGTTTTGAATTGAAAAGTAGAAGCAGAAGGACCGTTTTTAAAAAGATGAATTTCAATGGCAGATAATAGACAGCAGTGGAAGCAGTGAGAAGCTTTACATGCTGATAGATACTGAGTAAAGCTAGCGCTATTTACAGTCACTCAGCAGAATTCAGGATCCCTGTGAATTTTTGGTTGTTTGCAGCTATGTCATTTCAGACATTCCTGGCAGACATTCCCATATCCTGCTGGGACAGAAATGGAGTCCTCTCTCTGTTCTCCCAGATTAGTAAATGTGTAGCCTGTTCTGACTAGATCTGCCTCATCCTCGTTCTTTCTCTTGTCCCCGTCCTTTTCTTTTCTACCGTGTAGTACCCAGTGCTGAACATGTTCCTACATACCTGTAGCCAGTTGAACTTACCGTGTTCTGTGTGTGTTCTTCTGCCTATGCTCTAGCCAGTGTGTCACCTGTCTGACATTTAGTTACTTGAACCACATGAGCTCAGGTTCGTTGCATGTGTCTCATGTCTGGTAATAGGTTATATCCTTGGCCTCAGAGAGAGGATTTATTGCTCTATTTTTTATTAAAAAAGGAAGTCAAGAGTTAAAGAAGTTTAGCATTTGACCAACATTGCCCAGGTAATAAACTAAAAGAATAAATACACTTTCATTTCCTGTAAGCTGTGTTTATATCCTTTTCATAGATTATATACATATATATACTTTTTTTAACTGATGCCCTAGAAAACTTTCTAATAATAATTGTAGTCTGTCTTCATGTTATAGTTAAAAAAACAAAAATAGCTCCATGACTTTCTGAGCCCAGAAGTGATAGAACTAGAACCTGAACTTTAGGAGCATAAAGGGCTAGAAAACAGCATTGGCAGATCATAGAAACCTGTGGAGGGACACTCTACGTGGTGGCGCATGCCTTTAATCCCAGCCCTGAGGAGATGGAGGTAGAAGCAGGTGGCTCTCTGAGATCAAGGCCAGCCTGGTCTACATAGTGACTACAGGGAGGACTGTAGGACTACAGGGGACCCTGTCTCAAAAAGAAAATAAATGTGCAATGCTGTACCATACTGGCAGATAGACGGTTTGAGTGGTGGTCGCTGATCTATCTGCCAGCTTCACTGCTTACTATAAACAAGCCAGCACTCAGCCTTGAGTCACGATGCATACAGAATTGAATTTATTCTTTTTCTTCTCATTCTGTCCATGCTTTTTTCATATCATGCATGTTCAAAGACTAACAGACTGTGCCTCAAAATGATACCAATGGTTTTCTACTTTAATTTCCACAATATTCTGCATTATTTCTGTAATCTAAAACCAGTGTGTTTCTTTTGTCATTTAAGCACAAAGGTCTTAACTTCTTTTTTCTGGTCAAAAGTGTTAGGGTATTAAGTTTTGTTATCATTTGAGCATTGGTGCTACTTAATGTTAAGTAGAATGAATCTAATTTCTTTTAGGTGCTCCTTAAAAGATACTCAGAAATGGATAGTGATTATGAGTGCCTGGATAGGTTGTCTCTTGACTTGGAGAAGGAAATTGAAACCCAAAAAGAGCTTTCAGTTACTTTAAAAGCAAATCTCTCACTTCCATGCCCACAAGCCAAAGAGATTCAAAAGCTTCTTAGCGCAAACCAGAGATGCTCCATGGAATTCCACAGAGTCATGAAGAAACTTAAGGTACCAACATAAGGATATTATTCCTTATGAAATTTCAGTTCAGTATATTTAAGTCCTGTGTGTGTGTGTGTGTGTGTGTGTGTGTGTGTGTGAGTGTACATACATATATATGTATGTATATGTATAAAATTTATACTTACCAACAAATTAAAGATGGGTCTGAAAATAGGGTTCATTGAACAAAACCTGAGCTCTGCCTCGTGTAGACACTACATGATGGTGCTTAGAGCAGATGAGTCACATCGCAAAGATCTCAAAATCTGGCCAGGAAGGCATATGGTAGATAATGAGTGCTCTGGTAGAGGTGTATATATAGGCTTGCTATATGACAGACTTCCTGGGGAGAGGCAACACACAGGTTTACCCAAGACAGGGAACCCACCAAAGACCAGAATAACAATTGTACCATAGTCCAGCCTGGTGAATTAGTTTATTGGGGTTCTATCAGGAATACTGCCGACGGGTTTCTTACAGGAGCGGGGACAACTCAGAAGCAGCTGTCTCACTGGAAAGCCACCCCAATACAGGTGGTGTTCTGAAAGCTGCATTCCTGGTACCTCCTACCTTGCAGGCAGCTCAACAGTTAAGAATCTTCTCTTAGCAACTTGGTTGGTCAGAGTCTCCTCGGTTGTGTACGGTTTCTATAACCCAAGGGAGGGGTACTCGTGAATCTGTCTCCAGACTGAGGTGAGGCTCACACACCTCCTCCTCCTTCCTGGAGAGAACATTTCAACTGGGAAGAAACTGCTATGCAATAAGGTTGTGACATACAGTGTGTAAGAAGTGACAGAAAGTGAGACTGTCGTGGAAGCCAGACCCAGGCAATAAAGCTGGAAATTCCTTTAGTAGACGATGTGCAGCAAGTGGGTGTTCATTTGAAGTAGTTGCAGGAACCAAGAACAATTGCCATTTAATACTTTGCTATAGAATAAAGAAAAATGAGCTTGAAGGGTTATGTATAGTGTCAGAGAAGAGAGACAGGAGACGACTACAGTGGTCCCCACAAAATAACCGTGTGTGACTGCTCTGCTAGGGAAATAAGAGGATGCAGGGAATTTTAAACTACTTAGCAGGTAGAAGTGTTAGGGCCAAGGGGTAGATAAGAAGTTTGGATGGCGTCCTAGGACTTGTGCTTAGCCAGGTTTGTGGAGGGTGGGAAGTTTTCTTAGGAGAGTGACAGAAGCAAAGGGTGAGGAATGAAGAAAGGGAGATCAGAAGTGCAGTCTGAAATGGAGTGAAGTTGAAGTATCTATGTTGCACCATTCAAGAAGAGAAACAAAAGCATGTGGCTGTAAGGACAAAAGTCAGGAGCAAAGTCAAGACCGAGATTTGGGATTCATGAGCATGTATGTGATAGGTGATACAACATGGCTAAGGTCATTCAGAAAGCATGTAGAAAAAGAAGAGTATTAGACTAAGTAGAGAACTCTAGAAATTAAGTACCTAAGTGATGTCAGAAAAGGGAGCAAGAAATGGTTTCAGAGATGCACAAATCAGAGACAGAAGAGAGCTAAGCAGTTGTGCTGTTGCTGAAACCCTCTTTCAGGAAAGTATATCAAAGATAAGGTTTGGGGCTGGGGAGATGCTTCAGTCAGTAAAGTGCTTGCCACGCAAGCATGAGGACCTGAGTTCAGACCCCAAGGCACACCTATAGTCCCATAGCTGGAGAGATAGCAATGGCAGGGGGATGTCTGGAGCTTGCTGGCCAGGAGCTCAGTGAGAGACCGTGTCTCAAACAATAAGGTACAGAGTAACTGAGGAAGAGGCCCAGCATCACCCCCTTCCTGTACACACACACACAAGCACACACACACACATGCAACCATGCACACACACAATGTGTTCTAGAGTGGCACATACCTCTGAGCTGAACTTTGGTGGTAATGAACTCATCGGTGGCCATAGTCAGGGCAGTTTTACTTAGTGGTTTGGAGAAGAGGTCTGATTATAAGGTTAAGTAATGGTTGCAGAATTAAACAGGTATTTGCCTTACCTTAGATTCTGATAATCCTTCCACAAGTCCTGGAAGTCAGATATCCAAAACTTATGAGGTCTGGGGAGCACATTACAAGTATGGTTATTTTAAAGCCAAACATCTAAGTATGTTTGGCAAGGAAATCTTGAAGCATATAACATTTTCCTTTTTGGTTAACCAGACAAGGTTGGCAGGAGACTATGTTGAAAACCTCAAATGGGGCTGAAGAGATGGCTCAGCGGTTAAAACTATTTACTGCTCTTACAGAGAACCTGAATTCAGTTCCCAGCAGCCATGTCATATGGCTCATCTCTACCTGTAATTTCAGCTCTAGGGGATCCAGCGCCCTCTTCTGGTGTCTGCAAGTGCCAGCATTCATGTGCACATACCCCTACAGGCACACACATATACATGTAATTAAAATAAATAACTTTAAAATCTCAAGTGTCTGACCTAGATGATTGACAGTTTAACCCAAAAATGAGATATTAAGAAGAGAATTTAGGAAAGGGAGCGAGTAGTGACTGAGTATGAGGTGTGTCCAGTAGAAAGTCAAATATGAAAGTAGCAGTCTGCAAATCACTTTCCCAAGACGCTGAGTGGAAAAACTGGGGGGTAAAGAGTAGCTGCTTCCCTCTTCATCATTTACCAGAGAGTATAAATGATAAATGCACACATCTTTAATCCCCCACTTGGTGGGCAGAGGCAGGCAGATCTCTGTGAGTTCAAGGCCAGCCTGGTCTAATAGCAAGTTCCAACGGCTGCGGCCATCGGGAGACCCTGTCTCAATAAGGGGAAAAAAAGAAAAGCAGTAATAAATGTTCACCATCGCCAGCACTGAAAATGTCACTTTGAGTACAAGTTTCATGGTGCAGTTTATTTTGTTCTTTTTCTTCAAGTACGTGCTAAGCCACGTTACAAAGATAAAGGAAGAACAGCATGATTCCATCAACAAATTCGAAATGGCTTTCATTCAGGAAGTGGAAAAACAAAGTGAATTCCAAATTAAAATACAGTGCCTTCAACAGGATTATGAGATACCATCCAGAGAATTAGAGATCCTCAAACTAAACCAGAATATGGACCTCCATATTGAGGTATGGTTTATTTTAACTCTATTTTTTTGTTGACTAGAAAGTTACCTTTCTGTGTGTTTAAAACCATTTTCTTTTGCCAGAAATTATTAGTGAGCTGTAGAGTGACAACTGACCAGACATACAGAGTGCCAGGTGATGGTGTCAAGTATTGTCAGACCAACATAGGCAGAAATATACACATAACATCAGCAAATGAGAATTCATAGAACTGTGAGCTTCTCAGTGCCTTCTAAACCTTGTTCCTGGGGCTGAAAGTCAAAAGCCTTCCCTGTAACTGCTCCATAAAGAACATTCTGCTCTCCCAGCAATGTAATGCTGGCATCCAGTTCCCAACACACAGGAGACCTGATGGGCACACAGAAAAGCAACATCTACAAGTGCCCCATGTGTGGGGTGACTAGTCACAGACAGGGTCTACAGGCATAGCTCACAACACATAGACTCTATTGCCCACCCTTTGTTATGCAAATAACTAGACTCAAGCTTTAAATTAGAAGTATGCATCTTCATTTATTTATGATATTAATAGAATCCAATAGATATTTATTTCCCTCTTTTCTGATAGTTTTGTATTTTGTACAATATTTGGATAAAATCCTTCCTGATAATTTGATACCTATTCTTCACACAGGAAATTCTCAAAGATTTTTCAGGAAATGACTTACCCAGCATAAAGACTGAATTCCAACAAGTTCTGAGTAATAGGAAAGAAATGACTCAGTTTTTGAAAGAGTGGCTACATGCTCCTTTTGATGTAGAAAAGCTTAAAAGTGGCATCCAGAAAGAAAACACTAGCATTTGTCAAGTGAATAACTTCTATAATAGCAAAATAGCTGTGAGTATGATTTTTCATCATTCTACTTTTTGTTCTTTGCTTTCATTTTTCTTCCTCATTCCTTAAAGGTCCTTAAATAGCTTAATTTTAAGTGTGTTTTCTTTAACTTCTTCATATATGATTTATGAAGATAGATTTTATAAAATATTGTTTTAATGTGTTATGCTTCCTTAAGATAAATAATTAAATCAGTTTGTTCTTGTGAAGGTAACAAACTGTCTGCATGCTATGCTCCACTTGTGAAATCTTGCCTTGGATTACTGTTCTCTTTCCCCTTTCCTTCTGGGGCCCCCTGTGGGGACTGAACCTTTCCCCCAGTAGCCTCAGGCAAAGTGAGGCATGAGCCTTTTTAAGCTCTATGGACAGCAGCTTTGGTAAAGTCATAAACAACTCTGGCTACTGTAATGAGACTCAAACATAATTCACCTTAGTGGCTTCACTATCAAATGCCCTGATCCTAGAGGTTCAGGAAAGTCAAGACAGTGGGCACTTGAAGCAGCTAGCACAGTCTACCCACAGAGGCAGGAAGCAGTGAATTCATGCAGCTGGTCTTCAGCCTCTCTCCTTTCATTCGTCCAGTGCGCAGCTCATGAAGTCCTACTGCCCACATTCAGGTCGTTCTTCCCACCTCAGTTAACCCACGAGAAAATCCTTCAGGGGATGGAGCTCAGTGCTGGAATCAAAGGCCTGTGCCTCCACACCCAGCTATTCCATAGTTTGAAATGCTCTTTTTTTTTTTTTAAGTTTTCCCATAGATAGTTAATCCTATATGTAGATCTATAGATTAGTTACCAAGAATCAGTAAGTTATTTTCCCTTTGAGCACTGAGGTTTGGAATAAAGAAGGAAAACAGATCATTGTGAGGTCTACTAAGTGTGCACCGCTATTAAATGTCAGTTAGCATTTCATTATCAGCTAGAGCATATTTAATGGCTTTAACCTGCACAATTCTTCAGTTCCTCCTCTGTCACTACAAATCTAATCTGAATGAATCTTGCAGATCAACAGAATTCTCTTCAGCCCGTATTCCTTCTATTCCTACCACTAATACACATGTTAAATTTTCAGAAACACGCATTCTCTTGACCACTGTCAGAAAGTGTTATAATTCCAACATATGCACTGTCCTAGAATTCTAGTTTTTCTCAATGTTTTGTAACATGTAAATTATTTTAAAGCTGCAGTGATCTTTTTCTATTCATAGGCCATAGTAAATGAGTCAACAGAGTTTGAGGAAAGAAATGCTACCAGATCCAAAGAGTGGGAACATGACCTGAAATCAATGAATGAAAAAACTAAAAAGCTATTTAAAGACTACCAGGCTTTGACTGTCTCCCTATCTACTGCCCATATTTACCCTGCACATCCTTCCACACAGAGCACTAAGAACCCCTGTGTGGCATCAGGTGTACAGCTAACCGCAGAGGTATGTAACTTCCTGGGTCCATAGCAGAATTATAGCATTGAATGTATTCACTGAGGAATGTGAGTACACTGTTTTACATGTGTATAATGAGGTGGATTTTTACATATATAGCTGTACTGTGGTTAGAATTCAGGTAATTATAAAACTAGATATCATGTAAGGTCTTTGCTGTGGATTATTAAACAGAAGGAAATCATAGCTTACTTTGAATAGTAGATTCAGTTCCTCCTCCAGTACAGTTCATCACCACTTAAGGTATTACTACAGAGCATTGTAAATTTCCTAAATCATGTGACTGTCTACTCAGCTATAATCTATCTATATTTGGAGAAAAATAGCAATTTAGCTTATCTATAGCCATTTTCTTTATGATTGGTTACTATTGTAATCATAATAAACTCTAAGAGGCTGAAAGTATAATAGTTGTTAAACTATTAAAATAGTTTGTGTTTAAGAATCAGTAGTATATTATTTGAATAATCCAATTACACTATCTGCCTTTACTTGGGAATTGATAAACAAGGGCAAATGTGCACTCTATTTTGTTAACATGCAAAATGTCTTCTTAGTGGGGAGCCCAAATGGTTATTATAATTTATCATTTTTAACCAAAGTAAACTTGAAATAAAACATCACCCATTAGCTTAATAAGTAATTACCAATGGAAACTGAAGGTTTACTTAGTGTACAGCTGTTTTTATTTACTGACCATTCATTATGAAACTCAATTGCCTAAGATAAAATAGAGCAAATACCTGAATAGAACAAAAACCCAGCTTACAAAGCAATAATTAAGAAGCTGAAAGAAATACCATTTTCAGTGAACTAAGAAAATATAGTAATAGATAAGAAATTGTACGCTGCTATAATTAGAATATGTGCTACTCTGATATGTTAGACAATGAGCACAGAGTTCAGAAGTATACCCAATTAAGAATTAAATTTAGTATTTGATAATGTTAAAGTTCAGTTCAGTGGGGGAAAGATGGTTTATGAAATGCATGATTTGGAATAAAAGGCTGATTATTTAAATAAAATGAAGCTGACTTCTGTCTTACTCATTAAACCAAAATAAATTCTAGATAGGCAAAACAGACATTTCACAGAAAAACAAACTGCATATGATTAATCTTATAAGCATGAAAAAAATGAGGTGTTTATACCTGCAAAAAATTTGAAGTAACCTAAATGTTCATTTGTATATGGTGATTACTGAAAAAAAAGGATGGCATTTCCTTGAAAAGAGATACTATATATCTATGAAAAATGTCAAATCCACAGAAAGGGGAAAAAATACAAAGATCTAAAAATATATCTTTTTTTTTTTTCAAAAAAAAATTTTTAAGTAGAACTTTGTGTTTAAAATATAATGTGTATGGTTAACCATTTTTATGAACTGTAGGTTCACTTAGGTTTACTCAGAAATTTCTAGAGGAGGATACTTGAAAAAGTTTCGTAGTCCTTGGTTTACTGAAGTCACCTTAAGATCTGAGATGAAGAAACTTGACCTTTTATTTTAGGGGTTTGATTTTTTTTTTCACTTAATCACACTTTTTAATTACTTTAGAAAGGCAGTTAACAAGTGTTCTTTAACTTAATAGTTAAAGAACTTAATAGTACTAACTTAAAATGTGACTGACAACTTAATATACTTACCAAAGTACTAATCAGTACATAATTTGCTGGCAGATTATAATGTAAAATTTGGCATTCTTTAATGCATAAAACACCATTTTCTGAGTAAAGGAACTAGATTAATATTTGGCTTCTCTCATTTTTTAATGCAATCTATGAAAGAATCAGTATTACCTACATCTGGTGATTTTTTTTTTTTTTTCCTCTCAGTTTCATATACTGTAATTCTGTGTTTAAGATAGACCTAATGGATATGTGCTTCCTGTAACAGAGAATTCAAGAGCTGGAAACTTCCCTACAAGAAGCTAAAGAAAGTGCTATGTATAAGGAAGACAAGATTGTCAAGATGCAGAAAGAACTAGACTTGAGTAAGGACGTGATAGCAGAACTTCAGACCAAAGTTAGGGAGTCAAACACATCCCTTGAAAAAGCAAAAGAATCAGTCCAGGTACTTCAGGTAAGTTAAGCCCATTCCAGAAACGATTTGGTGGTCTGTTCTCCCTTCTCCCCTTTTTATCTTACGTGTATGAGTGTTATGTGTGCGTACCTCTAAGTGCACCCATGGCATGCAGTGCCAATGGAGGCCAGAGGATGGCATCAGATTCCCTAGAACAGGAGTTAGAGACGGTTGGCTGCCATGTGGGTGCTGGGAACTGAACCCAGGTCCTCTGCAAGAACAGCCAGTGCTCTTAACCACTGAGCCATCTCTCCAGCCCCGCCCCTTTAATATTTTTTATATTTTAGGAGTTGTTGGATGTTTTCAGACATTCCTACTACAACAAAGACAGCCAAACACTCTTTAAAGCTGGCAACCTAAAATCTATTTTTTCTTTCCTTTTTTCCATGAAAATAAGGACAAAGTTGCTTTAGGAGCTATGCCCTATAAAGAAGAAATTGAAGATCTCAAAACGAAGCTGGTGAAAGTAGACCTGGAGAAAAAGAAAAGTACCAAGGAGTATGAAAAGGAGTAGGTCTTGGCCATCCTTGAGCATGACTTTGGTTACCTAGCGTCTCTTTCCACACTACATGAATACCTTTGCATGAGTTTACTTTTTGAAAAGTAATTTGTGAAAATAATTATTTGCTTTGTAAAAAAAAAAAAAAAAAATACAAGTACCCCCAGATTTTAACTTCCTAAGTTATGAATACATAAGCAAAGTATCACCAACCAAGCCCCCTTCTGGCTGTGGCATGGCTATGGTAGAGAGCTCGCCTAACATGCACAAGGCACTGCTTTCCATCCCCAGTTCTGAAAAAAATATGCAGTTCTGATCATTTAACGTAGTGTCTGTGAATGCTTCTTTCTCAGTCTTATATTAATAAAAACAAAAGTGGCTTGCTGTGCCTCAGAGTAAACTAAGACCTTTGCTTCCTGCGCATGCACACACGTGTTTATTTAGCACTCTGACTAAGGTTGCTCTTCTCTGACCTTTGTTTCTTCATTCCTACTGTGCTTTTATGGAAAGATTGTTTTCTTTTAGTTTATAGGCACCTGGGGTCCCACAGCATGTCCTCTCTTTACTGACTTTAAAGTTCTTTCTGTGTAGGATGATGAGAACATCAAACAGACAGGGAAACTGAGCAAGAGGTGTTCCATCACCTTAAGCTCCAACTGGTCCTTGCATTGGAATAAGAGAGGCTTCTGTCAGGATTTCTCAAGATGTCACCTGGCTCTTTACACTTTTCATTCTTTGTATTCATAAATGACATCTAATTCTGGCCAAAAGGCCACAGTCTATAAGTCTTCATGCTGTGAAACCAGCCTTCCGTTATAAGAGCTCATGGTTTCAGTGAAACTTGTGTTGTGTTCTTCATCAGAAAGGGCAATTTTATTTATACGGTCAGCACATATTTTCATAGTTTGTAAGAAAAAAAGGTTGTAATTTTTGAGATAGTCATAACTTACTGATGATTAATGCCTGAGTGACTGATAAACAATTCATAAAATATTTCTTTCTGCTGATGAACAGTGTAGACTTTGACCTTTAGTTCTTTTACCTTAGAACAGAGCTTCAGTAAGGGCTTACTTTCCTGACAGTGTGGAAATTAAACTGTTTGTTGAGTTTGTGGTTTTTCATAAATAATTTATGACCTGGTGGTAACAGCTCCATTGTTTTATAGCACATCCAAATATAATTTTGTTCAGTAGTCAGTTAATATCTATTGTGTTTCCATAGGTTTCAAGTGAATTTATTTCTTGATATTAAGAAAATTGGACTGTCCCTAGAACTGAACAGAACACTTCCCTGCAGTGGCATCCAGTTATGAAAGACAGGATAGCAGAGCTGAGTGCTGACGGCTGGTCTGCTGTCAGCACAGCGTGTCCCATTAATACATTCTCAGCCACAGTTCTGGTTATTCTTTCCTATACAATTATTTGTGAGGATTTACAAATTTTTATTATTTTTCCTGTTAGAATTCTTTCCACAAAAGCCACTGTTGAGCATCAAAAAGAAGTGATAAGGTTACTGAGAGAAAATCTTAGAAGAACTCAGCAGACCCAGGATACCTCAAGTAAGTAGACGCAGACACTTTCACATCCTTTCCACTTAATTTCTCAAAACTCATAGAGACTTTGAGGATTCTGTCGTGTATGGCATTTAACACTAACCCTAAGTTAACCACTTAGCTATTTTTTAATATATATTATTTTCATTTTATGTGTATGAGGGTATTGTCTACATGTATATAAGTTCATCCATGACATGCAGTGGTAACAGGTCAGAAGAGAGCATCAGATTTCCTGAAATTGGAGTTACAGATGGTTGTTAGCCACCACGTGGGTGCTGAGAATCAAACCCTGGTCCTCTGCAAGACCAGCCTATGCTCTTAACCACTGAGCCATCTCTGCAGCCAACCAATGATGTTTGTAAAACAAAGGCATGTTTATCACGTTTATGTTATACCCTTTAGTATACTGTAATCGCAACTGTTTATCTGCTGTAGATTCTTTAAAGGCATGTGTGCCCACGTCTTTAATCCCAGAAATCCAGAGGCAGAAGCAGGTGGATTTCTGTGAGTTTAAGGCCAGCCTGATCTGCATAGTGAGTTGAAGTCCATCCAGGGCTACTCAGTGAGACCTTATCTCACAAAAAAGAAAAAAATGTTTTTACTTTTACATTATTAGATCTTTCCATATTACTGAAGATACTTCAATACTATATAACAGCACAGCTTAGGGGCTGGAAAGATGGCTCAGCAGTTAAGAGCATTGAGCTCTTGCAGAGGATCCAGGTTCGATTTCCAGCACCCACATGGCAACTAACAACAGTCTGTAACTCCAGTTCCAGGGGGTTTGATGCCTTCTTCTGACCTCTGAGGACGTTGCACAACACTGGTGCACCTATACACATTCAGGCAATACACTCATACCTAAAAAAATAATAATAATAAACAAAATAATTTTTAAAGTACAGCGTAACTATCAAGAGAGTACTTACCTTCCCAATAAAAATCAGACACATCCAAATCAATTTTGACTGTATACATATAATTAATAATAAATCAATGGCTACGTAGTAAAAACAATAGTAACATTAGCCTGTTTGCTCATAAAACTGAAAATATGTTGAATTACTTGAAAAACTGAAATGTATCTGATGAATGGTTTTAAGATTTTGAATGGTCAAATTTATGTGTATAGAATCCACAGTAGCTTTTTTACTATTTCTGTCATGTGCTTCGTTTGAGAAAGAATACTGATTGGTAACTTGGTGCAATATTGTGTATTAAAACAAGCTCTGAGCTTAAAAAAAATCAAATGTCTTTAGACTGACTGCCCTCAGTAACCATGTGCAGTCAGAGGTAGAACACCCGACACCGCATATACACACACACATATCACACTTTTGAGCATCAGACCAGAAGGTATATGGAAGCTCTTTGAGCATTCTAAATGCCAAGCAAATGCCAGAATATTTGTGTGTATTTTTATGCTTATTTTCAAAAGGAATTGGAGGTAGCCATGTTAAATGTGTTGTTTGATGTCTCCTGTGGCTTGAACTTCCCAGAAGTTTTATTATAAGTTGATATCTGCTCCTATCTGGAAGTGAGGATTCTGTGTTACAAAAGGGTCAGGATTACTCTTGATTTGAGGTGACTTTCAAATACATACAGATTGAATATCCTAAATATCAAATTCTTAGGAACAGAAGTGTTTGGGATTTGGGTTTTTTGGTTTTGTCCAGTATTTTTTTCAGATTTTAGCACATTTGCATATGAGGTATTTTAGGAATGTGACCCAAGTTTAAGAACAAAATTGGTTTATGCTTTATGTGTACATCTTGAAGGTAATTTTATATACTATTTCTAATGATTTTGAACATGAAACAAAGTTTGTATATCTGAACCATCAGAAAAAAGGAATCTGTCTCAGCCACCCATGTGGACAATCTGAATTTTCCACTGGGATATTGGAGTATTTCAAATTTTCAAGTAGAGATATTCAATGTAGTATTGTACCCGAACACTAAAGAAAATGAGCATCAAGAGTCTTTTCCTCACATAGACCCCCATATCTCTTTTGCAAACTGCTGGCGGCTAGTAGGTTATTCCAGTAAATAATGTCCCACGTTTTCATGCAATGTTGCCTACAATTTATGTTCTCTTCAATGGCTTTTAGTATATGATGGCACTGGCATGCTTTAATGTCATTCTATGGTGTTTTTAGTTAACGAGTCTATGCTGAGCACTTGCAATGCACTGAGTGACCTGAGGAGTAAACTGCATGGCTTCAAACAAGGTAGTGGGTCACAGACCCGGCAGCTGATCACTGATGTCAAGCATAAACCAACCCAGGATGGCTCTGATTACAACGGCTGCTGTTGAGGCAGTCAAGGTGGAAGGTCTCAGTAAGCCAGATGTGGTGGTGTAATTGGTTGACATGGACCATAGGGAAATGTAGACCTGAGGATCCACACGACAGAGAGGGTAAGGGAGGGGAAACAAAACAGACTATCAACCTATGTATGTGTTTTCTCCTGCAGTGATAACAGAACATGATTCTCAGCCTTTAAATAAACCATTAACTTGTGGAGGTGGCAGTGGGATTGTACAAAGCACAAAAGCTCTTATTTTGAAAAGTGAATATATAAGGCTGGAAAAGGAAGTTTCTAAGTTAAAGCAGCAAAACGAGCAGTTAATAAAGCAAAAAAATGAACTATTAAGGTAAGTGCTGCCTGCGTGACAGGCATCCACTTATGGCTGTTGCATGTGCTGGAGCTGCATGCACATGTTTTATGCAGCTGTCAGCCTTTCAGTTCAGGGAAAGCAATTTTAAAAATTTATTTATTGTGTGAACATGTACATGTGCCAGAGGTCAGTGCTGTGTCTTCCTCAGTGCTCTCTCCAGATTTGTTTTTTTTTCATGTGTATGAATATTTTACCTGCATGTGTGTAAGTGCACCCAGGCCGTGCAGTGCCAGTGTCAGACCCCTGGAACTGGAGTCAGCTGCTGTGTGGGTGCTGGGAATCGAACCCAGGTCCTCTGCAAGAGCAGATAGTGCTCTTAACCACTGAGATCCCTCCAGGCCCTCCAGCTTAATTTTTGAGACAGTCTTATGGAACCTGGAGCTCACCAATTCTGCTAGACTGACTGGCCAGCAAGCTCCAGAGATCTTTCTATCTCTGCCTCTCCAATGCTGGGATACAAGTAACATGTGGGTGCGCTCAGCTTTTTTTTAACGTGGATTTTAGTAATACTCAGGTCCTTATGCTTATGCTCCAAGCACTTTCCCAATTGAGCCTTCTCCCCAGTCCTTCTGACCTATTTTTAACTAGACCGAGAAACAGGAAATAAAGACCATTTTGGAGGCATGAGTAGACAGCTGCCACAAGTCTATACTCCATCTAAGCTCCTCTCCACAGACAACCCTTAGGTCCATTCTTATAGCCAAGTCACTCTACAGAGAAACGTAACACATTTGATTATTTGACTTCTACTGCCATTGAAGGTTAGGACATTTGTGCCAAGCACTCTACACTATACAATAAGAGGAAAACTAAGCACCAGGTGATCTTAAGGCTAGAAGCATAGCTCAGTGGTAGAATGCTTGCCTAGCATGCACAAGGCTCTGGGTTCCATTCCTCAGCACTGGTTCAATTCCCAGCATCCACATGGTGACTTACATCTGCCCAAAACTGCAGTTCCAGGGGATCTGAAGCCTTCTTCTGACCTCCAAGGACATTGTACACGGACATTGCACAATACAGATGCACTTACACACATGCAGGGCATATACTCACACATATAAAATTAATAAAATTTTGAAAAATTTTAAAATCCATCAATAAAGTCTATTATTATTTTATTACTATTGTTATTATTAGCAAAATATCAATATATAAGCCATTCTGGATGCTGTGGGCCCAACTGAAAACCCAAAATTGTACTTTGAATTTTTTTCAAGACTCTGTAACAAAAAATTTTACTTCAGTAATTCAATTTACAGTAGCTCCATTATGCTTTCTGACCCGTGGAAATAGTCTTATCAGAAAACTCTAGGTTGAAATTAAAATGTAAATATGAAAAAGTGGTTAATTTTATGTTGTGTATTTTAGTAAGATTCTCTGTTTATTTTTTTCATGTGACCACATTTTAAGGGTTGAGTAGTCTAATCTCTTTTCTCCCCTTATATTTAAGTGAAAACCATCATCTTTCCAAGGAGATTAAAACTTGGAAAGAAGGAACTCTTAAAAGAGAAGCTTATAAGGAAGCAGCTTGTGCGAATTCTCCAAAGTCTCCTAAAGTGACTGGATCTGATTCTAAGTGGAGACAGAACACAGCTCAGTGCCGCGCACGGAATTTACAAGGAGTGCCGAAGGAGTCACCAAAATCTTTGTTTTTTGATAGCCGATCAAAGTCTTTACCAGGACCTCATCCGGTTCGCTATTTTGATAACTCTAGTTTAGGACTGTGCCCAGGTAAGTGAGGCACAGGGTCCTGCGTGTCACAGGATAACAAATAGAACGCATCTGTGTTTGGTCCGGGTCAGGTTTGCCTCAGCAGGCAGTGCCCTGGCTTTGCCTCCTGAGCCGAGTTGCTCCTGCCTCCGACGTCTGGGCTACCATAACCATGTCTGCTGGCTTCTTTACAGTTGAGATGATAGTGTCCAAATTTAGAACTCACCATGTTCCCTTTTCATACCTGAAAATTTTAGTGTAACATCACCTCCTACCGGTTCACCTTCTGACAGAGTGGGCAATAAAGCTGAGCGGGGAGATAGCCCTGCTCCCGTTACCGAAGGATAGACGCAGCACTGTTCATTCCTCCAACAGCTGCTTTAACATCCTTGCTTCTGCCTCTGTGCTTGGTGTCTGTGTGTTTTAACTTTGGATTTCCTTTCTTTCTCAGAGGAACAAGCTGCAGAAGCAGAGAACGTGGATCCTAAGACCGATTCTTGGTGCTCCTCCTCAGGAAAAGAAGTGCCCCCCGCGGAGTGCAAAATGCAGTAGATTCCCCTTCCCCCTTTCTGGAGCCCTGGGATCCTTTGTTATTTATTTTAATATATTTTAAAGAATAAAGTTCTTAAAACAAATTTTGAATCGTTCCATATGGACATAAAATGTATACATTTTTATTGAAGCTATTCATATGTGACAGAAAATTCTAAAACATAGCACATAAATTAAGATAAAGCTTTGTGTTAACAAAATTGTAAGCTGTAACACCTTGAAAATGCTTAAATTAGTGTAGAAAAATATCCCAGTCCACAGAGTACTCATTGCATAAGCATGAAGACCTAAAATTCTATGATGAAAAATTAATACTTAAATACTGATATAAACTCCATTCATCTTATGTTACATGATAAAGGAATAGGGATAGAAAAATTAATGGATACATTTATACACAAGCACTCGTAACAAAATGCTTGCAAAAGTATAGTCTGGAAGTGGTCCTAGGTTGTAATTGTTACTTAGGACGACCCTCTCTGACCCATTTTTGTACACCCTTTTACTTCAGCAAGCATCTTGACTAACCATGGATCTTTACCTAACAGAGTGACCCAAACCATTCCTGAAGGGACTGGGCCATTTGTAATCCTGCCTGGATTAGGTTATAGGTCACCTTGACCTAATGACAAGGTGCAGTAATGGAAGAGACAGCTTCACTGACCTTCTGTATTTGTGACTTTCTCTTACCTCCACTGAAAAGTATTTGTCAAGTTTTTTCCTTGGTCATCTAGATCAGTTATCCCATAACTAGCTGAGTGAACAGAGACTCGAAAGGACAGGAAGACACAGATGAACATTTAAGCAGAGGATCTGAGACACGGTATGCAGATGCAGAGCCTTCTCAGTCCTAATCTTTTATTCAGTGCTAAAATAATGGCTGAGTTGAGTTCACAGGAAATATTGTGCCAAGAACACGTAAGACATACAATAACAAGGTAAGGAACAATGTATAGATGTTATCAAAGCAGCCTCTAAACTGTCAGAAACACCTGCTTCCTAGAATAGCTTCAGCCCAACCAGAGTGTTTTTAAGAACTTAAGAACACATGTTTTAGGGGCTGGAGGGATGGCTCAGCAGTTAAGAACAGTGGCTGTTCTTGCAGAAGACCTAGGTTCAAATCCTAGCACCCACAGGGCAGCTAACAACTGTCCGTAACTCCAGTTCCATGGGATCTGACAGCCTCTTCTGTCCTCCGCCAGCACTGCACAACGCGGGTGCACTTACCCACATGCAGGCAATACAAGCATACATATAAAATAAAAACAATAAAATATTTAAAAGAAAAACCCCTGAGGTTTGCCTTCTGGGATCACTGCTTGCAGTGATCACATAGGTCTTTTCTCACTGAACATTAACTTTGGAAGTATGCCATAAGCCATCAAGTCGCAAGCGTGTTAACTCCATGAAGTGGCTTGCTGAACATAACTCTCCTTGCCCATTAACCAAGAGGTATGAGGACCCCAAGGTGGCTGAATGGCAGTCTTAACCTCCGATTCAGTGATCTAAATGGGGTGGAAACATTCCCGCACTGGAAATGAAGCCCTCTAGGTCATCAGAACATAGTCTGGGCAACAAGAAGCAAAATTTTCCAGTGGTTCATTATTGTTAAACTAAATGGTCTGTTCCCATTTCCATCCTTTGATTCCTGAGCTGTGAACCCTGGCAATGGGAGAAACTACCATATATTGAACACTGACCGAGAGCATGTATAGACCTCTAAAGAACTTGGCCCCCGCCCTGCAAGTATTATCATCTAGTTGGTGCTGTAACAGCATCTTCAAAAGCTTTGTATCAGGGCAGCTGCTTCAGGATGGACAGGAATGTAGTTCAACCAGTGAAGTCCATGAGCATTAGCCCATGGCCACACCTCATGAAATGAGTTCCTCATTCAGAAACAAGGCTGTGCAGAATGCCATTACAGTGGGTAAGACATGCCCTAAGTCCATGTATGGTGATTTGGCAGAAACAAACTTTTGTCCAGAGAAATGTGTACATCCGGCAAGATCCTATACCTACAATCCGAGAATTCAGAAGAATGAGACAGGAGGACTGAATTAGAAACCAGTGTGGGCTACGTAATACATAAGATCCTGTCTCAAAAGCCAAATGTCCGTTCCAATAAAGACACTGGTGCTAGTTCCATGATGGAAGCAGTGTGTCAGTGTCATTTCTGCTGTGGCAAATTCCCTGACAGTAATCTAGTAGAGAAAATGGTGTATTTGACTTACAGTTCAAGTTACAGTCCATCATTTTGGGGAAGTTAAGGAAGGAACTCAAGCGAGCTAGTCAGGTCATATCCACAGGTAAGAGCAAAGAGAAAACTTGTTTGCTTCTAGTATGCTCGGCTAGCTTTCTTCACTCTTAGTTTAGGGCCCAGCTTCCGACATGGAGGCACTCACGTTTAGGGTCAGTCTTCTTACATCAATTAACATCCAAGAAACCCACCACCACCACCTACAGACATGCCCACAGGTCAACCTGATCTAGGGAGTCCCTCATTCAGGCTCAAGTGATTCTAGGTGTTGGCAAGTTAACATTTAAAACTAGCCACATACTCTAATGAAATCATCTGACCACCTCAGAAGATAGTTCCAAGCTGAGGACTTGGTATTGATCGTTGCTGCTGGCAGGTTGGACACCCTTGCATGACTGTAGGCAGCTACTCTTGGTGGGTGGATTTGTCATCTGTCTGTTGTTCATCCTCCTGGGCCTCCCATCCATTTGTCCACCTGCTGATCTGGGTCCAGTCCCATCCTCCCTGGGCCTTCATGGTCCCGAACCTCACTTGTGCAGCTGAACCTGACCCTGATGCCTGGCTCAACTGTGACCTGCAGCCTGATTGCAGCTGGCAGACCAGCAGCCTCCAAAGGCTGGTTATCTCATTCCTGCAGAATCCGTCTTTGCATCCCTTTCAGCCTTGGCTCACTTCCAGTTCAGCCCCTGAAATTTCATGAACTCTGCTGTGGCCTCTGTAACCCTAGAGCTGTTGAACCTAAAGACAGATAAATAGGTACATACGTACATACATACATACATGCACACATAGATTAATTTATTGACTGCGATATGTAATGTGTGATCTGATCAATAATAATTGAGACTATAATAAAAGAACCTGTGTTACTGGCATCAGGGTCACAGCCAATGCCCCAACAAGCTAGGTTCAGCCACCTGTCCTCAGGTAACTAAAAGATCCAAATTAATAGTGAAGTACAGAGAGATGATTAATCCCATGATGCCACTTTGGGAAAGAGGGACAAAGAGATCAGTGACAGCTCACCTCCCAAGCCCATCTTTGGGGTTTTAACATGAGGTTTAGGTTTAAGTAGAAGGCCAAAATTTGCATAGCTAACTCAGACCCTTCACTGTTATGGCTCTACTCCCCTGCAAGGTGGACTGACTAGCTGCAAAATCTCTGGAGAAATGTTTCTCTGGCTGACCCAAGCGTTCTCTCTCTCTCTCTCTCTCTCTCCTTCCCTTCCTCCCTCCCTCTGTCCTTTTCACAGCATGATATTGCTAGGGCACCTCCAATTCCTTTGAGTCCATTGTTTCTACAGACTAGACAGCTTAGTGGGAAAACAAAGTGTCTAGAATATCCTCCTTCCTGCCAGGCAAGCCAGTTCTACCTGTGCTTGGTTCCACTTGCTCTCCAGGGAATCCAGAGTATTTGGCAAACTGCTGCCAATGAAACCCACCTTGTGGGAAGCCACAAACCTGACACATCCACCTAGGTTTCTGACATAGTGTGTTAATCACAAGGGAACGAGGGACAGGAGACGGGAGAGGAGAGAAGAGGGCAGAACCTGTATTCTCTTGGCCTTGTTTTGCCAAGGCCCCTAGCCAGTCAAACGGTACCATAGGCTATGCTGTGAGGTGAACCTTAGCACTGAATGTGGCGTTAATCTCTCTGGAACATGCTCCCATACTTAACCAGAAATAATGCTGTACCAATTGTCTGTGTATCTCAGTCCTGTGAAGCTGACACCTTTTAGCTGTCATCACATACATTTTCTTGACAGCCTATAAGAATTATATTTAGGAAGCTCATTAGGAACATGCCATTCACTCAGCAAATATTTAACCAGCATGTAGTTTGTGCCACTCCTTCTTTTTCTTTTTTTCTTTCTTTTTTTTTTTTTTTTTTTTTGAGACAGGGTCTCCCTGTAGCCCCAGCTGTCCTGGAACTCACTAGTAAACCAGGCTAGCCTGGAACCCACAGAAATCCACCTGCCTCTGCCTCCCGAGTGCTGCATCACCACGCCCGGCACCAGTCTTTTTTATTAGGCATGAAAAATCATGACCAAAATGGAACATATATTGTAAGTAGAAAAACAAGTATACCTTTGATATGAGCTGATCACAAAATGAGTGTAAAAGATGTGATTTGTATTCTAGAAGATTTTATATGTATATATATGTATATATATATATATATATATTACGACTGAGTAAAGCAAGAATCTGCAGAACCACGTGACATGGGCTCTTACAGAGTGATTAAAGATAACTATGAAGACAGCCAGAAGAAAGTGACCTTAAAGGGGCGGGAGGGGGAGAGTAGCACTTGAGAGATAGCTCAGTGGTTAAGAGCACTGACTGCTCTTGCAAAGGACTTGGGTTTGAGTCTCAGCACCCACATGGTGACTAACAACTGTGTGTAACCCCAGTTCCAGGGGATTCGATGCCCTCTTCTGACCTCGGTGAGCAGTGCACAGCATGAATGGACTTAACACAGAGGCAGGCAATACACTCATACACATAAAAAATAAAAATTATAAAATTTATTTTTAAAAAGGAGTGCTTTCTCCTGTAACTACAACTCTGGGGGATCTGACACCCTCTTCCGGACTCTGTGGAACACATACACACAGAGAGACAGACACAAATAAAAATAAAATAATCAAAAAATAATAATAAAGGGGTGCTGGAGTTAGTCTCGGTTAGAGAACTGTCACATTCACAAAAACTCTTTCCAAAGCCCTGAAAAGTTGAAGACGAGGCATGTTTGCTAGAGCAAGGAGCACGGCTGGACGTGAGCACAGATCACTGGGTTCAGCATTAGGAGCTGCAGTGAAAGATGGAAAAGCAGTGCTAGTGAGACACTCACACGGACACTGGCAGAAACTGAGTCAGGGCTTTTCAGACTGTGAAGGGCAACTTGCACCACCAGCTGGACTTCATTCCTCTGACAGCGCCCTCCGTAATAACCTAGCATTTATAGAGCATGTGTGTGGCAAACACTGGGCTGATGGACGTGCACACCAAGGCTTCCCTCCTCACCACATCCCTAACATAGGTGCTATTTTATCCTCATTTTATACTTTTTCTCCTGTGTTTTGGAGGTTTTATTTATTTATTATTTATTTATTTATTTATTTTGTCTTTTTGAGACAGGGTTTCCCTGCAGCCCCAGCTGGACTGGAACTCACTATGTAGACCAGGCTAGCCTTGAACTCACAGAGATCTGCCTGCTTCTGCCTCCCTTGGAGGTTCCTTAAATTCTGAACCAGGGTCCCACATAGCCCAGGCTGGACTCAAGTTGCTCGGTACGCTTTGCAATCCTCCGACCTCTACTCCTTGTACTGAATTACAGGCATGTGCCACTGTGTCTAGCTTTATGAGGTGCTAGAGACTGAACCCAGGACCTGTGGCATGCTGGACAAGCACTCAACCAGCTAAGCTATACCTCAGTCCTATTTTTTCTTTATTTTTTCCTAATCACTATGACTATTAAGAATCATTTGCCTCAAGTAACATCAACAACCAAACACAAAAACCGCAGAAGCAATGATCATAAGTCTGTGCACCCACAGACTCCAGAGAGGCGAGACTATCTTCAGGGCACCAGGCTCTTTCTCTTGCTCTTCTCAGGCCTTACCAAGTACAGCTGCCTCTCTAACCAACACCACGGTGACTGCTCTGGCCCAAAGTCTCATATCCTCATTCTACAAAAAAATGAAAGGGGGGAACAAAAGCCTTTTGAGAGGTATCATCTTTCTCTTCAAGAAAGAAGCCCTCAGAGAATTCCGACTACATCTCCGTGACCAGATCTGTGTGGCTGGTCAGCCCTGGCAGAAAGAAGGCTGGGAATTCAATAGCTTTGTTTGCTAACCTTCATAACGCAAGAGGCAATGGCAAAGTGCGTTGACAGGTATTGAGTGCCCCAATTTATAGAAAACATTTACAGGTGACCCACATAATCACTCTGTCTAACCACACCAATCAGATGAAAGCACAGGTCACTAGCCTATCCAAGGGGGCACACAAGATCTAGTCCCTTCTGTTTGTCTTCCCACCTCTGTGTTCTTCAGACAGCCTGATTTTTTGTTGTGACCCAATGTTCCCTCCTTGACTTATTTTCAGGCTTTATGTGGACCTAAGACCCAGTGTAGTCAGGATGCCTGTGTTCAGTTGCGAAAGGTGTATTAGTGTTAGAATATACTGGGCATAACAAATTAACGTCTGAAACCATACCTTAACCACAGGAAAGTGTTCTATTCTTCCTTCAAAACAATCTAGACTAAGGGCTGGGAAGACTTGGGATGTTCAGTGACAGGTTCTATCTTGTTGCTCTGCTATCTTCCACTTGAAGTTTCCTGGTCCTTCAATCCTGAGGACCGTGGGGAAGCAGATACAAACAAAAGACAGTGACTTGGAGAAGCTAAAGAGAAGAAATTGCTTTCCTCTGTTAGGTAAGCTGTGAGGTGCTTTTCCAAGGTTCACCTGCTTGGACCTAACAGTTCCACTTTGCTTCCACTAGATGGCAGCATTAATGCATATAAAATTCAGGTCTGGAGTAACCCCTTTTAAAAACTTACAGAAACTGAACTAGTAAGAAAATACTACAAAAGAAATAAATTTGAACTACATATCCCAGCATGCATTGTTGAGCATGTGACTCACTTCTGCACAAAGAGCTCAAGTCTGTCTCTCGGAGGAAGCTGGTGACCGGCTAACTAAAGTAAGATTTCCTAATAGTTTTAGAACAAAAGTTTTGGGAAGAGGGAGGTTTAGATTTCAATAGTCTTTTATTCTTCATATTGCTAACTGGAAGATGAATCTCAATAGTTCAATCAGGATAAGAGTTTGAGATTTTCCCATATTGTATTTTTTAAATAGCCAAAGAAAAATGATTTTAAGAGTAAAGTAAATGTGTTTTTTGGGAGTGTGGGGGGCTCGTGAAAATATTTGGTACTCCTGAAATTTCTGTGATCTTCTCCTAACCAAATATTGCAAGTTTTATTCCAATAGAGTAAGAAAGCCAACATACTCAATTTTCACATCGGATTTTTTTAGAGTGGGTTCATTTTACAATTTCTGAGCATTTTTGCAAACATCGTCACAGAGAGACCCATTTTCTGTTGAGAATGCAGCTTGCCCCCAAAAATCTAAGTCCATAACAACTGAGAGAGGCCAGCTGGAGGGACACTTCCAGGGCATAGAAAGGATGCTTTGTACTTCTGCCCCTGCACACCAGATGCCCCCGAGGTGTCAGGGTGCTTAAGGAAACCTGAGCAAGTGCCTTCAGAGGGCAAGAGCCCAACAGCACCTGTGGCAGTTGGGAAACAAGTTTCTTATTTGGGACTGAGGGAAGGTAGGGATGGTTGCAACCTTTCTAAAGTGGAAAGTGAACTTCTCCCCAACTCCTACCATGCTCAAATTAAAAACCTAGCTCTGAATTAGGGATAGGTAAGCCACTGTGACAGCCTTTTCTGTCACACAGTTACAGCACAGCCATGAGTTGTCAGCTGGTCCCAGAAACTAGTTCTTAAGCTGTGACTGTCAGCCTCTAAGAAGGCTCTGGATGTGAACTCAGCAGACATGGCTTTTATTAGAGGAATGTTGCTGTAAGAGGAAATGAGGAAGGAGCCAGATGAGGGTGACAGAGGCTTCAGACCCTGAAGAATGGGAGGAACGGGGCATGATTGGGTTGTGTGGAAGCACCCTGTGTGCTGGGTACCATGGATGACCAGTAAGTGGGGCCAGGACCCATGAGGAGGCCATAGGAAAGGCACTCCAAGCATCCTAGAAATGGGTCTGCCCTAGGGTGGAAATAGCCACACAAAGGTGGCCTCAGGGCAGTGGTCTCCTATAGACTGGAGTGTGAAAGGTGCAGGCTCCCAGCACAGCACCGGGACTGAAACCTGCTGGAGTGGGAGAACCAGGAGGCCTTCTCCTGAACCTGCCACCGGAAGGCCTCACTTCGACATCATAGCTCTCAAACACTGGGCAAAAAACAGTCCACAGACTCTCAATTCAGTGTCAGGGGTGAACAGGCCCTGTCTGTTCCAAGGGAAGCACTGTCCACTCCCTGGTGTTCGACCAGCTTCTCCTCTAGACACCTGCAGCAGCCTCCAGCTGCCCAGCTCCTCCTGCCCAGCTCTGTCCTAGCAGAGATATTTCCAAAATGGAAATCTGAAAATATTCCACCCTTTCCTTCATTCAGGGCAGGTTGTTACAAGAGTGACTAGCAGTTGAGCATGTGGAGCTAGGACCAAATGTGCAGGATTGGGGGAGAGGGTATAGGGGTACAGAGCAAATGACAACAAAATCCACTTTGCCTGGCCAAGGAGAACAGAGGTATGTTCAAAAGAAAGGACTGAATGTGAGCCCTCGAGGCAGGTCTGGCCACGTGTACTTTATTGAAGGCTAGCTAGCAGAGGGAGTGTGAACACTCACTGCACACCCAATGCAGTTTCCCTTCTGAGGTTCACTTTAAAATGGCTACAGAAAACAACCTATAAGTTGCTCCCTTCCTTCCTCTTAGGCCCAGTCACCTTGCAGTTCTGGTCAACGAAACTTAGTGGGCATTTCTGAGGGCTTCGTAACTGCAGGTGAGGCATTGGAAAGCCTTTGCCGTTTGCTACTCTTTTTTAAAAAATGTTATATATACGCCCTTTCTTGGGCCAGAGCAGCCAACTTAGAAGTTGTTCTGAGGTTTGAGGTACACAGGAGGACAGAGTAAAGTCTTCATTTGACTTCCTTCTTCATTTATTACCTATTCCTCACTTCCCAAGATGTGCATTCAAGCCTCAGCAAAATCTCCCACACACACTGAATTTCCCAGGTGTGGGAAGTTCTCAGCCTTCTCTTTTAGAAATGAAGGATTATGTGTAGTCAAGTGTTATACTAAGTGTATACTAAGGCATGACACAACTTTAAAAAGGATCAGCAGTGTCATAGGGTAGACAGGTCTCATCCCAGGAGAGTCAGAAAGCCTGATTTAGCTCTGGCTCTGCCAGTGACTGGCTCTGTGACCTTGGACAGATCAGTGTGCTCATCTGAAAAATGAGGGTATTGGCCATAATTTGACTTTCCAGCCCTCTGTTCAGTGATTCTCTGAGGCTCACTGTGAACTATTTTCAATAAGGAGAAGCCACAAAGGTTGATAGTGTAAACCTCTATCGAAGTTTGTGAAAGATTGCAAAAAGGAAAAACAGACGGGAAAGAGTGACTTGACACGGTGCAGGCTATTATTTTGTGTGTGGGGGGCTCTGTAACTCTCAGAACCCACTGTCCACTTGTGCCCAGTTAGCGAGACCCCAAAGACCACCAAGGAGCCGACCAATGCAAATACACGAGGGTTCTTTTATTGTTACAAGCTAAAGCTTGGGTCCACTCTGTCACCGACGCAGCGGATCTCAGATGTGAGACCCCTTGTTTTGGGAGACAGAGGTTTTTATAGGTTTAGTTCAGCAAGTTCAGCAAGTAGGGGGGTAGGGGGTCTTCAGCCTGGCAAGCATGTGATTGGTTGCAGCTCAGTGCCAAACCATAAACTGCTGGCTTCAGGAAATCTGAAAAGATATCTGGACTTTTAGTACTTTCCTGTCCCTGGTTAACTGACCATTGGTGGGGGAGGTGTTCACTATCTGTTCCTAGTATTGTGGTTTTTCTTGGAACAGGGTCCAGGGCTGAGTCAGTCCTATGGAGGTTTTATCCAAGATGGAGTCACTCAGGTCTCTCATTCCCCCCTCCGACTAGGACCTTGGGGGACCAATCATGGGTGCTCCCTCATCTCATGTTCTTCATCACCCAGACTCTGGAGTTGGGCACTCCCTCATCTCATGTTTTTTAATCACCCAGACTCTGGAGGGACTGATAGTGGGTTCTCATTACCATTAGCTGTATAGCTCCCAGCCACTCGTTTATAAAAGCTACCAATTTATTTAAAACGCAAGGCCCAAAAGTCAAGAGCATAATCAGAATGAAGAGGGGTCCGAATAAGGTTGAAATCAAAATGGTCAACCAAGGGGAGCTATTGAACCAGGATTCAAACCATCCTTGTTTAGCCCTATGTTCGTTCTCTCTTCGAGCCAGACTTTTTCTAACCTTGGCCAGGGATTCTTTAATGACCCCAGAGTGATCTACGTAAAATCAACACTCTTCCTTAAGGGCAGCACAGAGGCCTCCCTGCTGCAAGAACAACAGGCCTAGGCCTCTCTTATGCTGCAGAACCATATCTGCCAAGGAAGTTAGGGATTCTTGTAGATGGGAAATAGACTTTTCTAAGTTCTGGATTCACGTCTATTGCAGCTCTAAGGCTATGGTAGTTTTGGCTTTGTAAGGTCAAGGCTGAAATTCCTGTACATTTCAAGGCTGAAATTCCTGCCAGTCCCAGTCCCAGAAGAACACATAGGGTGATGGCAGTAACAACTTCTCTTTCCTGGCGATTACAGTGAAGGGGTCCTTGCCTGGTCAAGGCCCTATTTATATCCTGGTCTGAGTGATAAATAATTCTAGAGATTAGTTGTACTAGAACACAAAAATCTGATGATTGATAAAGAACTTTAGAATGGACACATGGGCTTAATCCTGAAGTACATGCCCATCATCCTTGATCTTGTGGTAGCAAGTACGACTTATTGGCCAGCACTGGCAGAGTCTGGTTACATAGGGCAGTGTACTCATGAGGAGGCTTGCCTATACATAGCCCTCGTCCTGAAACATCTTGTAGTGTAACCCTGATTCCTTCCTGCTGAGCCCATCTACAGCTGCCTTGGTCCAGCTCTAGGGTGGTTTTTCCTATGAATGCAATCCCCTCATAGTATGGGGGCCTTGATGAATAACATAACCAGCATGAGGTGAGGCCTGGCCTGGTATCATTGAGTACCTGGTAAGTCTGGACCATTAGTGACCAAAGTGGGTCAGTGCTGCCTATAGGAAGGCCATGGCTGTCAGAATAGCCATTATTTGAGGGGGCTTCTGTGGTTGACAAGATTGATTCTGGGGTGACCTTTAAAACAGCACCTGGTCCCAAAGGGACTGAATGGGTCTGATACTGAGGAACTCTTACTCTTAATTGAATAGAGAATAAAGTTCCTGGATCTGGTTCAGTCCAGCCCACATAGAGTCTTATTTTCCAATTTTTTCCCGCTTCCCAGCAGGTGGCTCTCTTTCCTTCTTCAGTAAAACTAATATTGAGCCTTCCGTTTTTATGAGGATTAGTGGGTATCGATTGCTCCCATGTTACCTTAATAAGATCTCCTCCCTGGGGGTCCACCATATGTGTCCCGTTGTTTCACAGCCCCATCAAGCGTAATAAGTAGCACTATCCTCTCCACACCTGTTTCTCTGGGACTTGTATTTTTGAGTTCCAGGCCCTGGGCAAACATAGAACCGGCCTGGTTTTCTGTATGGGCCTAGAGAGTTAGTTAGAGCATGAGGATGTGTGCCTCCCTTAGGACTGAAATCAAAGAAAGCATCTAAATGGGAGTGTAGAGTTGGGAACCGAGTAGCCGGAGGTGCTTCTTGGGAGATCTGAAACAATATATTACCTCCTATCACATCTTGGAGGACCCAAGTCAGATTCATAGGTTGATGCGGGCTTCCCGGAGCAGGAGCAGCTATCATGGGGAACAGAGTATATACAGTCAACAGTTTGAAAATCAGGTGAGATTTAGCTTGAGTGGATTGTTGGGGTCCTTTGAAACTCTCCATCCTGAAGCTGAGGATGCGCCGTCC